GATCTAAATCCACACTTTAAACACGATACATGGATTAATGGAAGAATATGGCCATATTTTAAATTTGTTCGAAGACTGGATTTTACTTGAATATGAGCCTGGAGTTAAAGATGAGTCCAATATAAATAGCCCAAGTTTTAAACACAACTAGGGCCATGGCCCATTGGGCATAGACAATAGGTTCCTATCCGAGTTGAACATCCTATAAATCATCCGAGTAATCGTTGTGTTTATTTTCTTAAACCCTAAATTTCATTTCCCCGGCAAAAACCCTAGTCTCTGCTCTCTTTTTAATCTTCCCCTTTGCTAGCCGTCTCTCTCAACCAAAATGGTACTTCTCTTTGCATCTCTTCGTCTAATGTTTATTCTTTGCTTTTATATTACAATTGACTCTGTTTTTGTTTGGCAGACCGGAGAACCAGTGAATCCCAAAGCATACCCATTAGCCGATGCTCAATTAACCACCACCATTCTGGATCTTGTTCAACAAGCTGCTAACTACAAGCAGCTCAAAAAGGGTGCTAATGAAGGTTTGGGACATACGCATTTTTCAATTTTCAATATTTGAGATTTCTGATATGGGTTTTCTTCATTTTGATGGGATTCAGCTACTAAGACCTTGAACAGAGGTATCTCGGAGTTTGTTGTCATGGCTGCCGATACTGAGCCCCTTGAGATTCTGTTGCATCTTCCTTTGCTCGCTGAAGATAAGGTAATTTAGTTTATGGAATTTCTTCATGATATTTTCGTTTGTTTTATTTGTATTTTCTTGTGCATGAACGGGAGTTTGTTTGTTTGTAATTTTTATGTCACTTGATAAAATAAAGAAGGTAACTAAAGGTTTGTGCTCTAAACATACACTGCACAAAAAAATATATGTCAACAACGATTATCCCTTAAAATTTCAAATTCTCATATAATTTTATGTATTTTCTTTGTATTCTATATTCATAATTTATTTTATGAGTTTGTCCCCCTTGAAATTTTATCAATTCCCCCCTCCAAATCCTGCATCCATCCATGTAAACAGAGTATTATGAGCATTTTGAAGCCTTTTTCTTTCTTTTATATTTATTAATACACCACCTTTGCTTGTCCAGGTTTATGTTTGATATGCTGGGGCTTGTTTAACGTTTTGCTCTTCATAAAATTGTGCTCTTTTGTTAATAATAAGATGTTTGGGCCTTGCAAATATTTAGCCATGCAAGAGTTTTTTTTTTGGACAAATTGTCATGTTTTTTGGAGGACATGTGTTTCATTGATTCATAATTCCCGTGTTTAGTATGTCTTGGGATGTCGTATTGTCACTCTATCTAGGTATCCAATCAACATGACAATTGTCTTTAAAGAACTGTTTGAACAACATAGGATTGTATGTAAGATTATGGTACTTTCTGTTGTATACGACATGTTCTCCACACTTCAGCTTTGAATTCTTGATGGTTCATAGCTCAATGTAAACTTTATCATGAAAAAACAATTCAACTACCACTCCTTAGCATCTTTCCATGGAGCAAAAATGTCAGGGATTGGCAGCTAAAATTTTCTATTTCCCATTGTTGTTGGAAGATTATAATTTATGACATCACAATAACATTATATGTAATTAAACTTTTGCAGAACGTACCTTATGTATTTGTTCCTTCAAAGCAAGCGCTTGGGCGAGCATGTGGTGTGACAAGACCTGTAATCGCCTGCTCTGTCACGACAAATGAAGGAAGCCAATTGAAATCTCAAATACAACAGCTCAAGGTATACCTGAACTTTCTGAAAGAATGTTACCTTGTACGGCTCATGTTTTCCCCCCATATTTTGTGTGTGTTTGCTTATGCTGTTTGTCTGTGAAATGCAGGATGCCATTGAGAAGCTCCTAATCTAAAGATATTATGCAGTTCGTATTCAGTGTGATGGGCCTCTTGGAATGTGGTGGTTGCTCCTTTAGAGGCTTTGACTGATGAAGTCGTGCCACTATTGAGCAGGTCTTTTAGTGTTTGACCTTAAAAAATGCCATTGTTGTGTCTTATTATGTTTTCATATGAACTGAGAGAAGAAAGGGTAATCTTGAATTTGACGTTTAGCTGAATTCAATATGAATCATGCAATGAATTAATGTTTGCCTGAACTTGTCAAATATGTTCCATTTGTGCTGTTACAGTTTCACATTTTCGATTTAATTACTTTTGGATTTTAGGTTTTTATTTAATTTATCAGATCAATTATGAAGCATCAAATCAAGCTTTTATTGACTCCCCAACAAGTTAAATACAATGAAGCATCCATATCAGGCTTCCGTTGACCCACGAAACGGTTTTGAGCTTTATCGCAACTCCAAATATTTGTGGTTAATTTTACGCTCATCGTTCAGTCCAAGAAAGCAAAGAATTCAAGGTGTGAGGGCCATAGATTTCGCTGAATTCCAAAATTGAGTGAAAATGTCTCATTGGAATGGAAGAATCCAAAACTTCATCATGCTCGACGGATCTTGATTTACACTTATGTGACCGATTTCTCGAGGTTTAGGCATTTCTATGCTTACATTTTATCAGTTCCAGAAAGAAGACACATTATGAGTTAGATAAAAATGAAAAGAAAAGAAAGAACTAACATAGAAATAAATAATAAAACAAAAAATGGCCGCATAAGTTTATGTTAGAGGTGCAGGTTTATAAAATTTTCAAGGAAGTGAAAATTTATAAAATCTTGAAGGGACGTATACTTGTAAAATTTTAAGAGGTAAAAATAGTTTTTTTAATTAAAAATAGAAAGAAAGTATATATAGGAATTTAATATTTTAAATGGACGATGATTCTCATCTGTTTTTCATATGAAATCTCGTAAGTTTCTCTTTAGAAAAATAAAATTACTGTGTGAATTCAATTCAATTAGAAAAAGAATTAGGTGACGTTTGGTTCGTTGGAATGTTTCTGATGGAATTGAAATCTGTGAAGGAATTGAAATCTGAAGGAATTGAAATCTGAATCTGAAACATGTTTGGTTGACAGAAAATTGAATTGGAATCCAATTCCATATTATGTTTGGTTCGCAGACATGTCAGATGAATTTGATTTCAGTAATTTAAAATGACAGAATTGCCCTTCTTGTTTTTTTTTTGCTTAATTTTAGTTTATTTTATAACTTACATGTAACAATATATTATAAAATTTTAAAAAATATTAAATTTTCATTTTATTGATTGATTATTCATTTCAATAAATTATAAAAATCATACTAATAAACATCATAAGTTAAAATCATCCCAATTAGGGATGGCCATAGGTCGGGTTGGATTGGGTTTTTGGTCCACCCGACCCGACCCGAGAACAAGGGAACCTCCACCCGAGACCCGACCAAAATAAAGTTTCACCCGACCGACCCGAATATATGAATTAGAAACCCGACCCGACCCGAAATAAAAAATATTTTTATTCAATAAAAACAATGACTTAATTGAAAAAATTATATATAGAGGGGTATTATTGTAATTATTCCTAAATATATAAGGTAAAATTATATTTTTTTTCGGGTCGGGTATTTTTCACCCTAAACTCGAACCCGACCCGAATATCACACTTAAAAAAACAGAGCCGAATATCACACTTAAAAAACCCGACCCAAACCCTATTTTTTAAAAAAATCCGACCCGATTCCGATTTTTTTAAAAAAGCGACCCAACCCCGACCTGAGTATCACACTTAAAAAAATCCGACCCGACCCAATCCCGAAATTTAAAAAAAATTTGACCCAAATACCAAAAGATTGATGAGGGTAGTATGATCAAATTTCACATTCCCTCCTACAAATGATTTTAATTCTATCATTTTATGGATGAAATTTACTTTCCCTCCCTTGATGGAATTGGATTCCAATTTTCCCTTTGAAAACTTAAACTAAACATGAAAAAGTGGTAGAATTGAATTCTAATTCTACTAATTCCAAAGAATTCCAACGAATCAAACACCACATGTGAAAGATGGTGGGTGAATCCCATTGGTTGGATGGATAACCCACGGATTGTCATTTATGATTCAGTCGTCGGAAGGCTAAGATCGTATTTTCCATCGTCCACGGATCAAACATTTGATAAAAAACCAGCCGTCCGTATCTCAATTAGCTATGGTTTAGATTTACTCATTTAAAATCTTTAGTAAAAAGATTTGTTTTTTAAGTTCACTTCTTCCCGCTGCGATATATATATAAACACACACATACCATGGTAAAATCTCGTTGATAGTGCGTTGAATTTTTTTTTTTCACGAAATAGTGGGATCGCCAGATTAATTGCTCAAGTGGTGTCCTCTACAGTACCGGGGGTAGGTCGCCATGCACGCCCGGCGACCTACCAGGTCGCCATGCACGCCCAGCGACCTGGTAGGTCGCCATGCATGCCCTGCGACCTACCAGCCAACGACCTCCATGCCCATGCACGCCCATGCACGCCCATCTCGCCAAAGGAGCACGCCCATGCACGCCCATCCATGCCCTGCTGCATGCTCGCCTGCTCGCGACCTTGCCGGGACTCCATGGCGACCTACACATGCACGATCTCCCCATTCTTCCCATGCATGAACCGATCCTTGGTCGCCCCGAGTGTCCCATGCATGAATCGTTCCTTGGTCATCCTTGGTCGCCTCGAGTGCCCCATGCATGAACCGAGCCCCGAGTGCATGGCACGATCTCCCCATGCATGAATCCTTGGTCGCCCCGAGTGCATGGCGACCTCCTTGGTCGCCGGGCGTGCATGGCGACCTAGGAGGTCGCTGGGAGTGCATGGCGACCTATGGTTGGGTTGTGCATGGCAAGCCACGTCGTAGGTCGCCCGGAAGGCATGGCGACCTACGGCCACACTGTTGATTTCGCCCTATTTCAGCAAATAATGTTGGGATAACGTTATTTCGTGAATTATTTATTTTGAGTGCATTATATCGTGAGTTTAGCCCACATACCATAATCTACCAACTTTCGCCGTCAAAAATTTCTCTTCAAATATATCCTACTTTCTTGCAAACCAAACACTTTTTATTCATCAAATCGTCCTAGCAATGGCTCGTACCAAGCAAACAGCTAGAAAATCAACCGGAGGAAAAGCTCCAAGGAAGCAGCTTGCCACAAAGGCCGCTCGAAAGTCGGCTCCGGCAACCGGCGGAGTAAAGAAGCCTCATCGTTTCAGGCCAGGAACCGTGGCTTTGAGAGAAATCCGTAAGTACCAGAAGAGTACAGAATTGTTGATCAGGAAGCTTCCTTTCCAGAGGCTGGTGAGGGAAATCGCTCAAGATTTCAAGACCGATCTGAGGTTCCAAAGCAGCGCCGTTGCTGCTCTTCAAGAAGCTGCTGAAGCTTATCTCGTTGGACTGTTTGAAGACACTAATCTTTGCGCTATCCATGCTAAAAGGGTTACAATCATGCCCAAGGATATCCAACTTGCTAGGAGGATTAGAGGTGAAAGGGCTTAGATTATATGGGCAAAATCTCGTTGATAGTGCGTTGAAATTTTTTTTTTCACGAAATAGTGGGATCGTCAGATTAATTGCTCAAGTGGTGTCCTCTACAGTACCGGGGGTAGGTCGCCATGCACGCCCGGCGACCTACCAGGTCGCCATGCACGCCCAGCGACCTGGTAGGTCGCCATGCATGCCCTGCGACCTACCAGCCAACGACCTCCATGCCCATGCACACCCATCTCGCCAAAGGAGCACGCCCATCCATGCCCTGCTGCATGCTCGCCTGCTCGCGACCTTGCCGGGACTCCATGGCCCCGAGTGTCCCATGCATGAACCGTTCCTTGGTCGCCTCGAGTGCCCCATGCATGAACCGAGCCCCGAGTGCATGGCACGATCTCCCCATGCATGAATCCTTGGTCGCCCCGAGTGCATGGCGACCTCCTTGGTCGCCGGGCGTGCATGGCGACCTAGGAGGTCGCTGGGAGTGCATGGCGACCTATGGTTGGGTTGTGCATGTCCCATGCAGAGCAAGCCACGTCGTAGGTCGCCCGGAAGGCATGGCGACCTACGGCCACACTGTTGATTTCGCCCTATTTCAGCAAATAATGTTGGGATAACGTTATTTCGTGAATTATTTATTTTGAGGGCATTATATCGTGAGTTTAGCCGATTATATGTATCTACTGTATTAATTATGAAATTAGGGAAAATCTAGGGTTTTGTTCCGTATCGTGTAATTTGCTTTCTCGGCAAAATCTAGGTGTAAGGTGGAATTTTAATGAAGGTTCTATGTTTTTGTTGGTTCAAATTGGGCTTAGCTTTATTAGTTTAATCTTCATATTCATTTCCCGGACTTATTGGGTTTAACTACTTCCACTTCATCTCTTCCAAACTACATCAATCCCAAGGTACCAACTTCTGCCAACCCGGTTCCCAGATTGACTTACCTTATCTCCAGTGATGGTGTCAGCTTGCTGAGGATGTTGAAAGTTTTGTACCATCCCAGGATCCAGTTGGCTGTGCATTTGGATTTAGAGTCTTCGGCCGAGGAGAGATTGAAGGTGGCCGAGTTTGTGGAAAATGAGCCAGTTCACTTGGGAATGTTAGGGTGATCAATACAGCAAATCTTTCGACTTATACAGATCCTACCACGGTTACTGATCGAAGCATGATGCAGATCTGCTTTCGCATATAACATAAGATCGTCGGCAAAGAAAAGGTGAGAAACTAGTAGGCCATTCCGAGCAAGGGAGAAGCATTTCCATAGTCCCGAATCAGCACAACGGTGAACGCTATGGACAAGCAGATCCATAGCCAAATCAAAGATGCAGGGGATAAGGGGTCCCCTTGTGGGACACCCCTTTCAGGTATAAAAGCAGTCGAGAGTTTGCCATTTCCATTGGATCTGCATAGAAGAGGAAGTAATACAGTGCATGATTAGTCTGCCCATGCTGGCGGGGAACCAAGCCTCAATAAGAGTATCCCGAATGAAGTCACATCGTATCCTATCAAAAGCTTTTCCAAATTTACTTTGATAACCATCAACCGTTGCTTACTCTTCAGGTTTAGCATAGAGTGAAATTTTTCCTGATTAATAATGACGTTGGTGATAGAACGACCAGTAACAAAGCTAATCTGATTTGGTTGAACTAAGATCGGCATGATATGCTTTAAGCGTCGAACAATGATCTTAGTTATAAGCTTATAATACATCACAGTGCACAAGCTTACAAGCCGAAAATCCGAAAATGTCGCAGGGGTTTCAATTTTGGGAATGAGGACTAAGACGATTCTGTTAATGTCGGATTCAATACCTTCGCCTGCAAAATCATTTTGAACCATCTTGCAAACTGACTTAGAAACGACGTGCCACTGGTTCTGAAAGAATTCGGCATCCAAACCATCATGTCCCGATGCCTTCAACGGCGACAGGATTAGCCACACGTGGAAAATTCGTATGAGGAAAATGGGCCTAGACGTTCCCATCATTTGAGTATATGGATTTGAAAATTTGAACCGCCTCTTGTCGAAGAGTATCTTCATCGTGACACCTATCACCGGATGCATGTTTGAGGGCGACAATCATATTCCGTTGCTTCCTGAGTAAAGCCTTCCCATGGAAGAATTTAGAGTTCCGGTCTCCTTGAGAGATCTAACCCGATCTCGATCGTTGCTTTCTGAGCTTCTCTTCAAGGTCAAGAAGGTTTTCAAGATCAGGAAGAAGCTCCGACTCAAGATCAATAAGGAATCTAGAGTGATGACGGTTCAAACTTTTATGCACACTGCGTAGTCAAGCCATTAAAGTTTCTTTCAGGTTCCGATGTAGCCAAAAACTGCAGAATTCCAGATTTTTGCAGCTTCAGTAAAGGTTGAAATTGAGGATGAGAGCGAGCCGGAAGAGTCCCAATTATCCTGAACAAACGGCTAAAGTTCACATGCTGAGATCAACCAGAGAAATATTAGAATTGAGATTTTCGTCGGTTCGCGGAAGAATTGCCCACACTGAAAAGAAGTGGTCGATGGTCCGACCGCATGCGATAGAGGTGGCTAACGATGCTTTCTGGGAAGGATTCATCCCACTGATTATTACAAAGAACTCGGTCAAGTCTGGCATAAGAGTTCCCACGATTCCAATTTCCAAGTGAATTCCAGCCCTTGATAACACATATCTCGAAGACCGTTATCATACACAAAATCCATGAAGTCCTTGCTAGGCCTAGAGGAGCTCCCAAAGTTAAGCTTTTCCGAGGCCAAAAGAGTGGCGCTAAAATCGCCAAGAAGAATCCATGTAGAGTCAATAGAAGTGGCACTAAAGCTGAGGAAGGGCCATAGTCTCTTTCGCTTAGTAGAATTGGGGCTCGCATAAATGAATGTGTCCAGGGTGGACAAATCGGAGGCAACATGCGAGACTCGGCAATGGATAAATTGGAAGTGATTCAATAAGATTTCAACCCGAACAGAGTCAAACCAGCATAACCAGATTCCCCCAGAGAAGCCAACGGCTTCAATTCGATGAGAAAACGGAAAACCCAAAGAAGCAATGAAACTATCAACTATATCCCCACTGACGCGGGTTTCGATAAAAATAATCAAATTCGACTTGAACTCCCTCAAATATTGACGAACAGCGGATGAAAATCGAGGGTGACTGCTTCCCTGCATATTCCAGTAAAAGATATTTAAATCCATAAAAATGAGAGGAGAAAGGGGCGGACCTGATCGGATCAACATCAGATCCATTAGCAATACCGTCCGGATTCTTTACACCAATATGGGTGCTTTCAACGTGCATGGGACATGCAGAAGTTTTTGTCCCATTATCATTTGGGTCTTTAACAGCACCAGTTGAATGAGAGGTAAAAGATGAGGTTGTTTGGTATGTGTCTGGTGGATCACTGTTATGCTTCTCCAGAGGAGGCTTGTGTACCGGAGGATGCAGAGTTGGAGGAATTCTGAAATTAGGGTCATCATTTTCCGATAGCGCAAGAGCTATATGCTTGGTTCTAACAAGGGTAGCCACACGGGAGGCAAAGAGGAATGGCGAGAGATTGCAGACAGTGTTCTAGAAATAGACCTCGTGGTTTTCATGGTCACATTAGAAACAGATAGGGGCTTACGGACACTCAACGGTTCTTTGCCTTCGAGGTTTCGAACAGGTTGCTGGGGTTTTCAGAAAGAGGCAACAGGTTTGTTCTGAGGTTTGCACTAATTGTTTCAGGAGTGTTAGGAATTGGGTTACCTTCCGGTACATCATTAGTCCCCTCATCGGACGTGGCAGCAATGGGTTGAAATCTAGAACCCGAGGTAACTTTGGGTGCATCTTTCACCGTGGTAGGCTTCTTATTATTCTTAGATTGTCTTCGCTCAACGATCTACCAAGGGCTATATTGCTCCGGCACTAAAGTTGTTGATTGGTCTTCTGGGGATGTGTTCGATGGTACTGAAGTTTCACCGGTAGCCGACTGGGTTACTTTGGGTTTTCCGTGGCATAGATTCTGCACATGGCCATACTTCTCACACGATAAACAAATCGTTGGAAGCAATTCGTATTCGGCAATTTGAACTCACCCATTATAAGCAGCTTGGAGATGAGCAGTCTTTGAGATAAATGCTAACAGCCATTCTACCAAAACATGTTGCGGAATATGGCTATCGGATAGAGTAAAATTGTAATTGATAATTTAAGAAAATAAAGATGAAGGTAAAAAAGACACAAATTTTGGTGGAAAACCCCTAAATAATATAGGAAAAAAATTACGGGCAAAGATAAAAGAATTTCACTATGAGAAAATAGAAATTACAACTTTTCTCGATCTAACAAGGAGAAAACAATAACAATTCTTTCTTGGTGAAAGGAGAAAACAACTCTCAAGAAAACTCTCTAAATTCTCTAGTAATGAAAGAAAGCTAGAATGATTTGGGATGATTTTGAAGTTAAATGGGTTAGGGTATTTATAGTTGAAGCTTAAGGACTAATCTTGTTAATACCCTAAAGTGCATGGACTAAATTTACAATTTTCCCGTACAAAAAATAACAAAATATGCTCCTAATTTTGACAATTTCGGTTGCACTGAAAGCCACCGAATTGCAGTTTAATTTGACAAATTTAGCTGCCACCAATTTTGACTTTCAACAATCTCCCACTTGAAGATTTGATTGGAACAATCATATATTCATACCATTCTTTCTACCTTGTACCTTCATATTGCTTATATTTCTGTCAGACCACAAGAGGATCGACACTAAGTAAATTTATCGACATTGATCGTCTTTGTCATGAAATCTGCTATGTTGTCTTTGGTATGGATCTTCTGCATATCTACCTTCCATTCTTCCACCTTTTCATGAATAAAATGGTACTGAACTCGTATGTGCTTTGTCCTTGAATGAAATGCTAGATTCCTTGTTAAATGCAAGACGCTTTAACTGTCACAAAATAGAGAGGCATACTCTTGATTGTGCCCAAGCTCCTCCAATAGCATCTTCAACCAAATTACTTCTTTACTGGCTTGT